ATATTTTGAAAGCAGTCTTCGGTTGAATTTTGGTCAAAATTGCACATAAATAAAATGCACCATTAATATAATAATCAGATAGTTATCAGATTCGGATATTGAAGATGTTCGGTTATATTTAAAACGCGGACAGGATGACATTATACTGTATGAATCCAGGCCACAAAGCATCAAATGCCGAATACACTTCGCTGAAAAGTGAACTCTTGACGGATGTTTATCTTTAAAACAACAGAACTCAAAAGACAGAAATCTTATATAATACTGTCAGTGGCTTAGAAAGCGAAATATTAGCTTCAATTCCTCCAAAGTAAACTAATTTGCTTTTTGCATGAGCAACCACTTCTGAATGTAAACTGTAAACACAACACAAACTCGAGAAACTTCTAATTGCGCCGAGATGAATTTTCCAATTCGCCCAAACTCCAAATTCGCTATACTTTTCTACATCACAACGAGTCTCAGAGCTTAAGAGACAATGTCCACTAAAACCGAGCAAAATCGAGAATACGTGGCACATGAGGAAAAATAAAAAATCTTCTTATTTTTTCCAGTGATACTCTAATGTGTACTCAGAAACGTGGTGGGGTTTGTTTTCTGAAATATTATTTTAAACGCCGAAAATTATCAAAACCTCACACATACCCGAGATTCGTGAAATTAGCAAAAAAAATTGTGAGCTACGGCCTCTCGAAAATTTCGTTTTTCTCAATCGGCGTCTGATGAAACCTCACCTTTCGTTTTTAAACGTGTTTATAAGATGTTTATAAAGAACGTGGGTCCAATTTGCAATTTTTGAAATGATTTTTCAATGTCAAGACAAGCGTGTAAAAATCGTCTTTTTTTGCGATCCAAAAAATTCCAAATTGTTACACTTTTTAAAAATTAATTTTCCGTATCCGGGAAAATTCCAATTTCCTTGAAATTTACGGAATTTAAAGACAAACTATTGCTCTAAAACCTGATGTAAAAATTATTTTGGGGATTTTTGTTACTGCGGAATTATACTGACTATAATATCGAGAAAATCACAAAAAAAACTCAAAAATCCTCAGACAATTAGGCACTTTGCTTCACTTATAGACAGTCGAACCTTAATCATTCTTTCTTGTTTTCTCTTTTTATTGATAGGAAATATAAGACGTAGATCATTTTAAACTAGTTTGCCTATTTCTAGATAAAAATACGCTGTTAAACTCTCCAGGACTAAGATTTCTGCTTCAAATTCTTGTTTCAATTGATCGATCCATGCGCGCCAATTAAAATAAACTATAGAAACACTTGTACACTCGCTAGATTCAAGGCTATCTATACTTACTATAAACAGTCAATTACTTATATTTGAGCATGTTGTGCTCTAAGAAGTTCAGTTTAAGCGTCAAACTTCGGCCTTATTTTCATTGAAGCCGGGCAAGTTCAGTCGTTTAATTAAAAGGACAGGGCCGTTCCTAGCGTGATAATTGGGGGTGCATGTTCATATATTCGTCTTCTGCCCGACGGATTTCTTTTGAAAGTGATTGTTTTTATGGTAGCGAGCATGCATGAATATATGAATATACCCCCCCTCCCCCCCTCCCCATTATCGCGTCTAGGAACGGCCCTGTTGAGGGATATGATCGGAAATAGCATGAATATAGAAATTAGATTCCCTTATCTGAAAGAACTTTTAAAATGACGTGGAAAATATTTAAAAGCTTTTTTAAATCTCGCTTATTTCTCGACCTTAAGAAAAGCTTCTGTTGTGATGGAGCTAAACTGTGGAACTGATTACCTAAATGCAATTGACGCTTATAACGAGGGTCGAGGGTCGTACGTCGATGGTCGTACGTCCATTTCAAAAGTTTTACAACCATTTTGAAAACTCCCAAAAGCGGCAAAACAATTAGTTTTGCTCTCAAAACTGAAAAATTTCGCCTACGGCTATAATCTATATGTATACTGAAAGTTTCGCTGAAGAAATATTATTTTAAACGCCGAAAATTATCAAAACCTCACACATACCCGAGATTCGCGAAATTAACAAAAAAAATTGTGAGCTACGGCCTCTCGAAAATTTCGTTTTTCTCAATTGGCGTGTGATGAAACCTCACCTTTCGTTTTTAAACGTATTCTCCTACAGAGGTGCGGAATTCTGGAACTGCCTTCCTGCATCGGTAAAAGCATCAACCACTATTGCTAATTGTAAATCTAACTTGAAGCATGCAAATTAACATCAAGTGATCCTGCCATTGTTTCCATCTACTTAAAATAATTTTCTTGTAATTATTTCTTATTTCTGTTTGTGTGAGCACGGCCGGTTGGAAGATCACCTTTTTTCTTTTTATATCTTGTACATAATTAATTTTAGTATAGGTGAAATTGTACCTTGTTGAAATATAGTTCATAATAATAATAATAATAATAAAGGTTTGATGTTTGAAAGTATACGTATTTTAATATTCATCGGAATTTAAAATATACAAACTTGGGCGATGATCAGAGGCGATGATACAAAATTTGCGTTTCGCCAGTGCCGTAGCTAGCTCGATAATTGGAGGGGGGGGGCAGATATTCATATATTTGTGTTCACAGACCATAAAAACAATCGATTTCAAAAGAAATTAATAACGCAGAACACGAATATATGAATGTCTGCCCCCCCCCCAATTATCGAGCTAGCTACGGCACTGCGTTTCGCTCTCATGAGAAATTTGATTATAAGAAGGCTGTTTATATGGTCCCGCTTACCCGGGATTCAATGAAGTCTAACGTATTTTGATCGAGCAATTGAAATACGTGTTTCAGCCCTAAACAAAAGTTAGATAACTTTAAATATTTTTTAAACGAAATTAGGAATGCGCCTGAAGTTATATGTAGTGAAAGAAGACGATTAATGGCATTCAACAACATTTGGTTTTTTGTTTAAGACATGGAATTTCATACAATTTGTAACGAGCAATTTTGTTCAAAATACGCACGTCACACTTCATTAAATCCCAGGACCCGGGGAAGCGGGACCATGGCCCCAACTTAATGGCATGGCGGCGACGTACAGCTAGAGTTCTGAAATTGCTCAGAACTTCAACTTAACGATACTCCCTATAGGGTATGACATCGTGTTTACAAGTCTGATATGTTGGATAAGTTGCAGAAAAGTATGGGTAATATCTTCATTTTTTGCAGTTTGTCATGGATAATGTAGCTGCTTAAAATTAATCAATTGTCAGTATTTTAAGGGTATATTATTTAAATGATAAATAAAGGTCCGCATGATTTTGAAAAAAGAATGATTATTAGCAAATTGGTTTCTTAAAAGAGCAAGTCGCTTACATGCAGTTACTGTATTGTGCATATAACAAAGTAAATTCAGCGTGTGTTCCATACATCGGGTTTGATATTACTTTATAATTTCTGTGTATTCGGAAGTTTATTTATACAAACTGTCAAACACGTCACTAATTACATTGACTTTGTCATTGTAGTCACATCGCGAGTTTAATAAAATCTAGCCCTAATCTCAATGATTTATGCGACTACTTCAGAGAAAACTAAGCACATATATTTCAGTTTGAAAAAAGTAGATAATACGGATTGATTTTACGAGCTATTGAGACCTTGAGTAGTGGATTTAAGCAGGCTATCAATAACTGATCTTTTGTCTATTAATTATTATGTGTCAAGTCACGCGCACGGAGCTTTTGCAACATGATGTTCATATTGACTATTTATTTCTCTAAAATACCGATAAACAAGCAAAATAATTTAAAATAATTTATAATTTATCTGTCAAAACCAAATAACAAGAGAAAACAAGTATATAAATACTCACGTTTCGACAGTCTATCTGAGCAGACTGTGTCTAGACGTACTGCCTGTCTATAAGTGTCTGTCTACATAATCGGCTGTATATTATAGACATTATAATTTCGTGATAACAAAACACCCCATAATATTTTTACACCAGATTTGAGAGCAACATTTGCTCATACATTTGTCTAAATTTGAAGGAAATCGGAGTTTTACCGGAAAGGGAAAATTGATTTTCAAAAAATGTACCAAACTTAAAATTTTTTAACTTAAGGTTTTTCTTGTGATTTTCCCGATATTATAGTCAGTATAATTCCGCGGTAACAAAAAGCCCCAAAATAATTTTTACATCAGCTTTTAGAGCAACAGTTTCTCTTTAAATTCCCTAAATTTCAAGGAAATTGGAATTTTCCCGGATACGGAAAATTAATTTTCAAAAAGTGTAACAATTTAGAATTTTTTGGATCGCAAAATAAGGCGATTTTTACACGCTTGCCTTGACTTTGAAACATCATTTAAAAGATTGCAAAATAGACTATCGTTGTTTATAAACATCTTATATACACGTTTAAAAACCGAGAGTGAGGTTTCCTAAAGACACGAACTGAGCAAAACGAAGTTTTCGAGAGGCTATGACTCACTATGTTTTTAGCTAATTTCACGAATCTTGGGTACATGTCAGGTTTTGATAATTTTTCGGCGTTTAAAATAATATTTCAGAAAACAAACCCCATCACGTTTCTAAGTATACAGTAGTGTATCACTGGACAAAATAAGAAAACTTTTCATTTTTCATCATGTGCCACCAGTTGCTCGGTGATAGTGGAGATTCCCTCTTAAATAGTCTGGAGTCAAATTATTTAAAGATTTATAAACTAGGCAAACTACTCTGCGGTATACATAAGTTTTGTAGTTTGCCTAGTTTATACAGAACTCTGTATCGGTAAAATGATTGATTGTTCAAGACTTGAACAACTTGTACCAAGCTTGTTGACAACAAGCCACATCATCGTCAAGTTGTAACAAGTCCAGCAAGGCAGCAAGCTTGTAGTTCACAAATCTGTACCAAATCTGCCAACAAGTTGTAATGGCATTGTTACTGACGGCAAGAGTTTTCAGAAACTGAATTTGAACAAGACGCAACCTGATTCAAGAAAAACGGACTTTTATTAAACAGCAAAATGTACCTTGAAGTTTGGATATTTTTGAAGTTGGAAAAGGAAAATATTGAAAAAATGTGGGGGTAAATGTCATAATTTAAAGACTTTGAAAGATTGTATCTTAGTGGATATTGGCGATCCTGAAATTATGAGAATGACGCCAAAATTTTGTATTTGCGGGCAATTTGCATCAACGTCTGCATGGGCATATTTATGTCTGGCTCCATATTTTTTTCCCTCCGGTATGCCTATGGCTATGTTGGGCACTCTAAGAGGGTCTTAATGGGGGTCTATGGGTGTTAGTTGTCAGCTAAAATTTAAGCCAGTTGTCAGTTGTCAGTGCGATATATTGCAAGCTGTCAGTAGTCAGTTACTGCAAAAAAGCTGACTCATGGTTTTTTCATTATTTCTCAGTTGTCAGTTAGGACATTTTGTCAGTTGTCAGTCAAAAATTCAGGCAAATGTCAGTAGTCAGTTAACGCCATTCAGACCCTCCTCTAAGATGTAAATGTATGGTGGATATAAAATTCCTGTTTGGAAGGATAAATTCTCAGACAATCGGTTTCCCGTCGAGATATTTGGCAGTACGGAAGTGCGTCCTCGAATCAATTCACTAAACAAGCAGAAAACCGAGAAATAAAGAGAACCTTGAAGTTATTTTACGTCCAAGGCAATAATAATAGTCTACACGCTGTGTAAAGCGAATGTTTTCTATGTAGATGTGGAATAGATCAATCCGCACGTTCTGAACGGTGAGTTACATTAAACTTACTTTTACATATTTTCAGTAGTGGCTGCTCGTTGTTGGTTGATCTCAATACAGGGCTGAGGTTGACATTTTTCACGGTAGTAGCGGCTATTTTGGCATTCGCATTTTGGAAGTAGAGCAGACACAACAAATAATGAAACAGTCTCACGGAAACTATCCTTGGGATCAAATAAAGTGTCGGGGATGTGTGTCGTTTGCGAGCGGCAGTCTCCTACCCTCTCTTATTAAGTGAGAGAGATTTTAACTCGGCACTGGCGTGTGAATAATATCCTGAATGACGGTAAATGTCACAAGGCGACGATTAACTGCATTTTTTTGTCGAATATTTGCACGGATAGTGTTGGATTTGAATATGGCCATTTACTATTAATTAGACAAAGCAACATGGTGGTTAATAAAACAGACGGTTTGAAATCTGATCGATACCACAGCAAAATGGCAAATACACCTTGAAGTAGACTTAGTAGAGATAAGTAAACATGTTTTAACGATATTTTAATATTTATGCTGATATATATCGTATACAATCAACGACGGCTGTGGCCCCATTCTCGTACCCAGAGCCCTTCTTAAGCGCGTTCGACCGAGCACGACGAGGGACTCTGGCCAAATCCATATCAAACTGGCTTCTGATTGGCCACAACGAAATATATGGTTTATTATAGTAAATATGAATAAAAATACACAAGCGCTCCACGAAGCGTTGGTTTCCCTTTGAAAATTGGGAGAAAAGACATTATTAAAGTTGAAAGAACAGCAGTACGAAGCAGTTAGGAAGATTGTTGTTGATAATCGCCCACAAAAGCAGTAGATGTCGCTAATTTTATTTATTTAACTGATCAATTAGTTGATTGAAATTAATAGGTTGAGACGTGATGTTCTCGTAGCAAAAAGTCAGCATATTTATGGGAGATGCTCGTCGTATTTCTAAATCAGCGATGTTAATCAAACAAATCTGTGTTACATGTTCAAAGCTGAAGTGCCATCTGAAGAGAAAATATTAAAGCCAGCCAGAATATGAAGTTAATTGTGATGACTATTTTCTTCCTAGAAACCGATTTTTTACAATTTTCAAATGATTTGCAGTATAGTATGTCTTATGTATGACTGTTGACTTTTAATAAAACACAAAAAAGTCTAAAAATCTGTACAACGGCGACTTAAAATCGAATATAAAATAGTGAGACAATCTTTCGTCTTCGTATCCGTATCCATTACTGCTTTGACAACGTTTAAGAGGGAAATGTATACTAAATTTTATCAACATATATCGAGAACATCACGTCTTACCTACTAATTGATTTAAATAAATAAAATTAGCAAAACCTACCGCTTTTGTGGGGTTTTCCTGGAGAAAAACTTTCAAAACGAAACAAACAAGAAAACCGAAGTGTTTATCCGCGTTTGATGTTGAGCATGCGCAGTGTTTAACCGGATACCATGTTTTTATGGTATCCGGTTATGGATTTGGCCAGCGCCTCTCGTCGTGCTCGGTCGAACGCGCGTAAGAATGGCTCTGGGTACGAGAATGCTGTGGCCCGAGTCCAATCACTTCCGGCTGCCGGAAATGAAATGTATAAAGCTGCTTTCCACGGAAAGAATGAATGAATAAAAGCACACCATCTTGTCAGTTTTGTGCATGAATTGAAGTGTATTTGTCGATGTATTTATGTAAAATTTAGAAATATTTAATTAAACATTTCCATACGTACACGTGAAAAAACTGCTTATAATTACTGCTTTCCAGTTTAGAGGCCATGCTAACAAATTTGTTAGTTTATAAGTGCATATAATATACATATAATATACATATAAGAGAATAATTAAAGTAGATACCAGAATATGGGTATTATTTATAGCCAAGAGCAAAGCTGTATTAACAATGCCTAGCCATTGATTTTGACGTGTTCTTCCTTGAACGCGGGTTAAAATAAGTAAGGAATGTTCTTCCTATAGGCGACCGCGTGGTAACATTGGCAATAAAAAACTTAATTAAGTTCACTTGACAGAACTCTTGAAAATATATATTAAACTCTGTTACAGATTGTTTATATTTTGCTAAATTTTCAAAATATTTTGACTGAAAAAAGTGAGCTGTTCGCCATCTTGGATCATTGAGGACATGCATGTTACGTCAAGAGAGGGGTCACGCTAATATTTTTATGTTGAGAGTAAGCGATCAATATGAGTCCAAAACTTCGTCTCTGGTTGCTGTCTGCAGTTTAGAAATGATTAAAAACATTGGAAAAAATTTTCGGTCACTTTAGAGTAGTTTTATATGGTTAACCAAACTCCTGAGGTCATCAAAACCATAGTTAAAGGGATATGGCAATAAAAATTAACTTTGTCTTATTTGAAAGAACTTTTAAAATTATATCTGAAGAGCTTTTACAACTTTTTAGTGCCTCACTCGGTTTACGAAGTATTTTGTCCGAAAACAGTGTGCAGTCCGCCATTTTGGTATTATAATCGATCTACTGTAATTAACTGACTTTTTTATGACGTCACAAGCAGGGTAACCATGTTAAAACTTCTTCATTAAGAGTAGAAAAAGTGAAAAGCAAGTCTATAGTCGCTAGCCCTAGGTCCCA